GCCCTGACTTTTCTCTTTTCCTAAATGCTTCCCCAGCAACCCTGCCATCCCCCCAGCCAATGAGCTGCCAAAGCTTTCTGCTTCTGTCTCCTACGGGTACCTAGTATCTGTCCCCTTCTCTTCACTCACATGAGCGCTCCCCTCCCCAGTGGTCCCAGCACCACACTTCCTCTCTTTTGGCCCATTAGTAGAGCCTCCTAATTGTTCTCCCTGCTTCCAGTCTCTTCCCTCTCCAATTCATCATCCACACAGACCGCAACATAATCTCAAAGCACAGATTGTGACCCTGTCACTCCCTTGCTCAAGAAGCTTCAATGGTTCTCTATTGCCTTTGGATAAAATACAAACTTGTCTGTTTGGCGTTTAAAGCCCTCCTCAGTTTGACTCTACCCTACCACTCCAGATTTATTGCATATCACTCCCCTTCACGAACAGAACACTCCATCCAAGCCAGCCTAATAACTGTCCCTGAACTCAGAGCTCCATCTCCCTCCCAGCTGTGTCTTTGCCCAGGCTGTCACACATGCAGGAATTGTTTTGTCTTTATGGGTTGGCTCCCCGCACAGTGCCTGGCACCCAGCAGGCTTTCTGTCAGTGCTTGTTGGTTTGAACTGGATTGAAGTTGTGACCTTCATGCCGTTATTTTCCATTGTGTCTGGGGGTTCCCTGAGAAATACCTGTTAAGAGCCAGGATGCGGGAGCCCATTGTACAGAGGCTGACAGCTTGCCTGGCAGCATGGTGACAAGTCAGAGCAACGCAGACTCACTGGCTGCCTCCGAGGAGGTGGCAGAACGGGGGAGTCGAAGGAAGCCAGGACCTGGAGTCAGTGCAGCAGGACCAACAAGACACTTCTTAGCTGGGGTGTCTTGGGCGGGCTACTCCATCTCTCAGACTCTTAGTTTGCTCCGGCGATAACCTCTGCCTTGTGAGAAGAAGGTTGTAAAGATCAGGTGAGCTCATAGGACAGAGTGCTTTGTATAGGGCTTCTTAACTGTAAGACAGCATCTTCATCATCATGATTAGCCCAGCCTTGTGCTTGGTGTGATGGTGACACATAAAAAGAGGAGACAGCAGTCTCCCTCCTGTCCCTTAAGGATCTCTTCAAATTACTTTGTATTGCTTTTTCTGGAATTTGTATTTACTTTTCTCTGTCCACATTGTATCCCCCTACCCCTGAGTATGAGCAAATGTAAGCTCTTCAAGGGCACTTTTCTTTTCTTTTTGAGGCAATGGAGTTAAGTGACTTGCCCAAGGTCACATAGCTAGTAAGTGTGAAGTGTCAATATCAAATTTGAAGTCAGGTCCTCCTGACCGCAGGGCTGGTGCTCTAGGAGCCATTCTTTTCGGTCCTTTTATCCCCACTGCCTAGCACAATGCTTGGCGGCAGCTAGGTGGGGCAGTGTATAAAGCTCCTGGCATGAACTCAGGAAGACTCATCCTCTCGAGTTCAAATCTGGCTTCAGACACTTACTAGCTGTGTGACCCTGGAGAAGTCACTCAACCCTGTTTGCCCCAGCACCTCATCTATAAAATGAGCTGGATAAGGAAAGGGCAAACCACTCCAGGATCTTTGCCAAGAAAACCCCAAATGGGGTCACAAAGAGTCGGACGCTACTAAAAAACAACATAAGTACAATGCCTGGTATGCTGTAGGTACTTAATAAATGCCTATTAAATGAAATGAATTCAGAGAAGACTTCCCACCAGTTAGAATTGTTCCAAAGTGGCCTGGGCTGTCTCAGAAGAGGGTATGTTTTCTTTTCATCACTGGAAGTCTTTAAAAACCCAGGTATTGTTGATGACTGCATCATCTTCATTTGCCCAGATATCCCTCCCCTTTCCCTGGGGTCTTCAAGTGAAGTGTGGATAACCACTTGGTCATTTGGGTGCAGACAGGGTTAGAGGCCCCTGAAATCCCTTCTAGCTGCTGGGATTCTGTGATCCTGTGAGTTGGTGTTTCTATAAAACAGAAGTTGGGTTTGGGCCGAGCCTCGGAGGATGGATAAGGTTAGGGGAGCCAGAGAGAAGGGATAGGGGGTCATGGGAGGCAGAGGGTGGAGGCCAAGGTCCCAAGACATGAATGTACAAGTTAAATGAGAGACACCATGAGGGGACCTGCCTGGCAGGGAGGAAGCAGGGTGACAGAAGCTGAGTTGAAGAGGGAGGGTGGGATCAGGTGGTGAAATACCTGCATCTGCAGGCAGACAGCGTCAGAGTGTTTCTGGCTAAGGCTTTCCCATTTTTTTTTCTCTCTTATTTCAGCAAAATCCTCTGGCTGCTTTCTCTTGCTAGTTAATTTCTCTGGGGAGACAGTGACGCTTCATTCCTTAAGGGCCTCGGGGCTCCACCTAGCCTTCCTTTTTCTCTGCAAGATCTTCCACTGGTTATATGTGTCAAAGTCCCGGCACTCTGAGTTTCCTTAAGCCCCTCACCTCCCAGCCTCCCACTGTTGGCTGTTATTAAGAGACAGCTTTTAAGTTGGTGTGGGGGTAGGGCACTGGAGGGGCAGTCAGCAAAGACCTGGATTCAAACCTTACCCCTGGCATTTGGTTTCTGAGCAATTCTGGGCAAATGGCTTAACATTTTGGAACCTTGGTTTCCTCATCTATAGAAAGGGGCTAAGAATACCTGTAGCACCTTCTCTTCAGGGCTGTTATTAGGCTTACAAGAGATAGCACATGCAAAGGGCTTTTCAAACTTTGAAGCTCTGTAGAAATGCCCATTATCATTGCTAAGCTCCCCAAGAGGAAGGACCCTCTTTTCACATTTTCCCTGCTTGCTGACAAGACTGCTGGTGGAGGCTGTAACAGACAGTGGCCATGCTGTTGGTCATGCTAGGGAATGACTGGTGGACAAGTAACATACGGTTGTGTCAATGACGGTTGTATTGTTATATCCTATCCATCCATGTTGACTGAACATCCCATCCACCTGTGGCATTTTCTTGGGGACCATCAGGACACACGGAGCAAGAAACCACATTAACGGTGCTCTCCAGGAGCTAATTCTATCATGTAGAGCTTAGCCCACCCTCATTGGAGCCCTGAAGGTTAGGGAAGGAATGCCTCAGCCCACCCTAGACTAAGTAATCAGCCAAGTCTGGGGCCAGCCTCCCATTCTAGGCAGTGCATGGAATGGTTGTTTGGAGTCAGAGGACCTGGGTTTGAATTTTGGCTCTGCAACTGACTGGCTGGGTGACCTTGGCAAGTGACTTAACCTTCTGTGTCTCAGTCTCTCCATGTGTAAAGTGAGGGGGGCTGTCTCATTAGCAGCAGCGCTGGTAACTCTTGGCATTTATGTTGTTTGTAATCACCTGCTAAATCAGGCATTAGAAACTTGTGGTCCATGAATTTAGACCATCTTGGTCACCATATTTCAATATAATTAGTTTTCTTTATAATTCTACGTATTTTATTTTATGCATTTAAAAACACGATTCTGAGAAGGAGTCCTTTGGCTTCGCCAGGCTGGCTGCCAAGGGGGCCATGACACAAATGTGGTTATTAAGAAGCCCTGAAGCAGATGGTGTCTATTTTTCCTTGTAATTTGAAATCTATGAATTATGACTAGGTTGCCCACCCAGTCTGTTCCCACAAATAGACAACATTAGCAGCAGAGCCTCAGAGACACTCCTTCATGTACCTACACCGGATCTCCCTGGGATAAACAAGATAGGACTCACTTCATGGAATTTGAATGCCATGGACAGAACCCCTAGAACCATGGCAGTTACACGGAGTGTAGTAATAATCCCATAGGACCAGGCAATCACCAGTTGGAACTGGTTATCTAATCACATTGTGGAGGAGAGAGACAGAGACAGAATTTGTGTGTGTGGCAGGAGATGATGGAGAGAAAGGAGGCTGAAAATAAACTTAGAAGGACCATCCAGTCCAGGGCATAGAGCCAGACACCACTTTGAACTCTGTTTATGTTCCAGAGTCCTGGTCATAGAACTAACCTGCTTACCCCTGAACAGCTCCAAAGACACGTGCTCACAATTCAGGGGTCAGTGGGTCGGCTGAGGTCGGGCTCCTGAGGACCAGCGCTGGTGAATTCTCAGCACCTTCTTTTATATGCTGCTTGTAATTACCTACTAAAAAGGCAATTATCACCAGCCGACCTTCCAGCTTGCGTTTCTGATGCCTCTGTAAACTCACTTTTACCCAATGGCAGCCCTCAGGTTGCTCAGGGAGTGAACTTATTCTCTGTTTATAACTGGCAGCTATGTGTACTAAATAGCAAATTATCCTCACCTGTAAAATGAGGATAATAATAGCACCTTCCCCACAGGATTGAGGACCAAATAAGATAATATATATGAAGTGCTTTGCAAACCTTAAAAATCACCATATAAATGCTGGTCATTATTATAGACAAAATTAGAATTCAGCTTAAATAACCATAGCCTTCTTTTAGATTTCAAAGACCTCAGAAGTTATCTTTATCTAACTCTTCTCCCATTTAGAAATTATCAATGAAGGTCCAAGGGGTTTGGGCTAAAACCTCTTTAAAGACGCCTTAAGCTATAGATAATAACAGAATATTATAAGTGGTATATTAGATTACTCTGAAGATTCATAACATTTTTGTTTTCGTTGTTGAAAGGGATTCAAGGAACAAAAGTTGGGAACCACTGATGTAGACCAATGCCTTCAACTTTTCAGGAGGGGAAACTGAGACCCAGAGAAGCTAATTAATGAGTTCAAGGTCATAGGTGGTTAGTGGCAGAGCTTGACTTAAAATCCAGATACATTGTCCCACAGGCCAATGCTTTTTCTGTTCCCCTCAATTCCTCCCACAATGAAATTCCGTCAGTAAGCACTCAGGTTGTCCCTGATTGGGCCTGGGCTCTGTGTTAGGTGCTTTGATGGTCAGGAGGGAATGTTGAGACATGATGCTTGCCCTCAAGGGGCTTATAGTCTTTAGGACAATATAAAGAGGATTGAATGAAACATTAAACCCAATAGATTCAGATTGTCCAAATTGCATCCCACAGGCTTTGAGCAATCTGTCACAAAGACATCCCTGTTGACCAGGTATTCCAAGGAAGGCTCCACAGAGTTGGATTTTGAAAGGTAGGTGGGATTTAGAATGACAGAATCAGAGGATTTTGGAGGTGGAAGGAACCCCAGAGCTCAGCTAGTTTGAACAATACATTCTGCCTTCAAAATGCTCAAGGAGATGGTAGAGTGGGAGGTCCACCCTTGGATGGGTGAAATTGGGCAATTTATTTCAGGTCCTTGGTCCCTGGTTTTCTCCTCTGTAAAATGAGGACACCCCCAGATGTTCCCTGGGGTCCCTTCCAGTTCTGCTTGAACTAGGATCTGCTCTTGAACCACCATGCAATGGTGCCTCTCATGTTCATACAGGCCAAAATCTTCTTATATTAAGCCTAAATCTGTCTCCCTAGAAATCCTGCCTAATTATCCTTAGTGGCCTCCAGTCCAGGGACATAAATAGAAACAGAGGCCTCTAATCTGTACATAAGGAGCCCTGGGGGATGCCTATTGACTTAGTTTTAAGATGGAATGTTATCTATATTTTATTGTATTTTGATTTTTTTATTTTGTTCAGTATTTCCCAGTTACACTTTAATCTGATTTGGGCTAACAGTAAGGACTGTGGCTGGGTATTTGACACTCGTGCTCTAGTCCAGGTCTTTATCTGACACATAATGAGACAGAGAAAGGATCATTAGATCACTGGCCAGAAGGGACCTCTGAGGCCATAGATTCTAATCTTCTCATTTTATAGGTGAAGAAATTGAAGCCCAGAGCAGTCATGACTTGTGCAAGGTCACACAGGTAATAAATCAAAGCATTGTGGATCTAAAATTGGAAAGGATCATCCCAACCTCTTTATTTTACATATGAGGAAACTGAGGTACAGGTAGATGGAGTTACTTACTCAAGGGAGATTCACTTGGATAAGCAGAAAAGACAAAAGAGAGGTGGGGTCTAACAAAGATAGAGTAATTGCCATCTACATTGGATATGAGGAGCCCAGCTAAGTGATGTTGCTAAGAGGCTGTGTATTTATTTCTACATCTGCTGGGCAGGGGAATGGGAGGGAGCCAGCCCCCAAATCCTGGTTCTTGATGGCTCCCACTTCTGAGACCTGGATTAGCCTCCGGCTTATTCCTCCTGTGTCACATCCAAGAAACACTGGTTGCTTTTCAGCGGCTGAAGGAATGATCTATTGACTACTGCCAGCAGGGAGTAGCTAATTGGCTCCAGTTCTAAGCACTACCTGTAGTCTTCAGTTATTCAGATCCTCCAAGGTTCAGGGAAGCTTGCTTGGCTTTCAGGCTGACACTTGGGAGGTCCCTGGATTCTGGTGATATTTTCTGGAGGGGGTTGATTCCTTAGGTCCATCTGGTAGTGGCTTCTTCAAAAAAAATCAGAATCCCAGAGCTTCCGAAACAAAGGGTACTCAAAAGCCATTTGGGCTACCCACTACCTGACCTGCCAAGTGGCCTTCCATCCTCTGAATATCCAGGGAGGCGGAGAGTTCCCCCTCCACGTATGGCCCACTTCACTCTCCAACTGCTTCAAGGATTAAGAAGTGTTTCCTTGCCTCAAACCTAAATCTGCCTCCCTCCCTTCATCCCTCCTTATGTTACATTGCCAAGGCTCTATGATATCATATATTTTATCTATCAATTTTAATGTATTTAAAATGTGTATTTTTGTGCCGGCAAATTTATCATTTACAAAGTAATTTCTATTCATTATCCTATCCAAGTCTCTCAACAAGCCTATAAGGTTGGTCATGCAAGGATTATTAGCCCCATTTTACATATAAGGAAACTGAGTCTCAGTGAGAGAGAAGCCTCTGTGTCCAGAGGCACAGTGCTAGGTGCTGGTGGACTAGGCCTAGAATCCAGGTTCTCTGATTTTTTGCATGTCATTGCATTGAACAGTAAACCTGGGGATGTGTGCAGGAGAGGTAGGTCTTGGCCTCAGAAGGCCTGGGCTTAGTCTCAGGCAGGCCCCTTACTACCTGTGTGAGCAGTGCAGGGCCATCAGGGCAAACTCTTCATACATATTTACTGAATTGAGTTGAATTGAATTGAACAGAATTGCTGCAAGAGGTCAAAGACATGAGGACCCCCTTTTCTAATCCAGCCTCACCATTGCCAAATATTCTTCCTATAACCCATTTAACTGTGTTACTTTTTTGGTCCCCAAACATTCAATGGCTCCCTATTGCATCTAGGTTAAAATAGAAACATCTTGGGTTGGTATTCAAGGCCCTCCACAACTAGATTCCCATTTGTCTTTCCAATTATATTTCATGAAGCTATGTTTCATGAGTGCACATTCTAGTCAAATTGAGCTAACTCACGGCTCTATATTCCACCTCCACATATATATGTAGGCTATTCTCATTCCCATTGCCTAGAAGGCATTTCCTCCTCCTCTATCTTTCTCTTGGAATCTTAGCCTTCCTTCAGAGGTTTAACTCTGCTTCAGGGAGCTTCCCAGTGGTTAGCAAATAGTTTCTTTTTTCATTCCTTTACCTCACTTCTCTGTGTTATGTATTCCCCCAATAGAATGCAAACCTTTTGAGGCCAGAGACTAGATGATTATGCTCTTTGTTTTAGAGCTGGAAAGGACCTTAAAAGCCATTAAATCCAATCCTTCATTTTACAGATGAAGAAACTGCGGCAGAAGAAACAGCTGAAGTGACTTACCAAGGATCACACAGCTACCAAGTATCTGAGTCAGGATTTGAGCCTACGCCTTCTGGATTCCCATCCACCATTGTAGAGATTCCCTGGGCCTCCCAGGAGCTTGGCTTGTTTTTGTCTTTGAATGCCTGGAGCCTAGTATAGTAGTGTGAGACGTGTGTGTTTGATTGAATTAAATGAAGACTGAGGGGAGAGGGTTGAAAATGGTTATTAGGGTGTCTCTGGTGACATTTGGAAGACTAGTGGCAATGGGGTGGTGGCGATTATGCTCACAGATGCTGGCCCTTTGCCCGGAGCTTCTTCCTTGTCTGTTGAAATCCTTCAAGGCCAGCTCAGGTACCACCTCTGCCATGAAGCCTTCCTGGATGTCCCCAGCTGAGGGTACTTTCTCCTTCCTCACAGTTTCTGAAGAATCTTTTGCCCAGATCTCTCCTCTGTTCCTCCTGTCACATTCTCTCTTATAACCCCCTTATTTATGGACGCTTAAATAACCTCCACTAGTTAGCTCATGGAGTTACAAGGTGGGGTCATTTTTTCTGCTGTCTTCTCAGAACCAAACATAGGTCCCAGAAGACAATAGATGTTGAATACATATTTGATGAAACAAATTGAATTGAACTGAGAGGATGGGAGGTTTTGTCACTCTCTCCATTCCTGGACTGGCTCCATTAAAGGAGCTCAGCCCCAGAGGCTAACATTTCCTGGTACCTGGAGTCAGGATGAACACTGATCCTTTTACACCCTTCCATTCTGTGCCCAAGCCAGTCCTTCTCATTGACCTCATGGAACCTATGTAAATGTCTCAGTACAACCACTGATCACAGGGACTCATTGCTGTGGCAAAGCTCTTCATAGCTTCTGGATCCCCTGACACTCCAAAAAGGAAATGGAGTGTTGCATGCTGTCATTAATTTCCTATTGATTTTACTGTTTGGAGGAAGCCAGGGCATTATATAAGGAGGGCTTGAGGAATGCCAGGAATTAGGGATCATAAATTCCAGCTTGATATGGCCATTGTGGGCCTTGAGGGAGAGGGAATCATCTCAATTACAATGCAGAAGAGCAACTGTGAAAGATGCCCCCTGCATTGAATGCCTAGCAGTTACTGTGATGGTAAATAGTACCTAAACCCTGGGTAAGGATTTAAAAGAAAGATGACCCAGAGGGAACATTTTGGATCTAATTCAATACATGGAAATTGAGCAGATGCCCATCAATTTTAGAATGGCTGAACAAGCTGTGATATATAATTGTGCTATAGGAAATGACAAGCAGGGTGCTCTCAGAAAAACCTGGAAAGTCTTTTTTTATTAATTTATTTTGATTTATCAACAATCACTTCCATAAGCTTTTGAGTTTTAAATTTTTCTCCCCCTCCCTCCCTCCTTCCCTCCCCAAGATGGTTCACAATATGATATAGGCTATACATATACATTACTATTAAATATATTTTTACATTAGTGATGTTGTAAGGAAGAATTAGAACCAATAGGAGGAACCACAAGAAAGAGAAAACAAAACAAAACAGAAAAAAAAAGAAAATGGTATATTTCTATCTGCATTCAAACTCCATAGTTCTTTCTCTGGATGTGGACAGCATTTTCCATCATGAGGCCTTTGAACATGTCTTAGATCCTTGCATTGCTGAGAAGGGCTAAGTCTATCAAAGTCAGACATCACTCAGTGTGGCTGTTACTGTGTACAATGTTCTCCTGGTTCTGCTCACTTCACTCAGCATCAGTCCATACAAGTCTTTCCAGGTTTTTCTGAAGTCTACCTGCTCATCATTTCTTATAGTACAATAGTATTCTGTTACATTCATATACCACAACTTGTTCAGCCATTCCCCAATTGATGGGCATTCCCTCAATTTCTAATTTTTTGCCACCACAAAAAGAGCTGCTATAAATATTTTTGTACATGTAGGTCCATTTCCCATTTGTATGATCTCTCTGGGATATAGCCCCAGAAGTGCTATTGCTGGGTCAAAATGTATGCACATTTTTATAGCCCTCTGGGCATAGTTCCAAATTGCTCTCCAGCATGGTTGGATCATTTCACAACCCCACCAACAATGCATTAGTGTTCCAATTTTCCCACATCTTCTCCAACATTTATCATTTTCCTGTTTTGTCATGTTGGCCAATCTGATAGATGTTATGTGGTATCTCAGAGCTGTTTTGATTTGCATTTCTGTAATCAATAGCGATTTAGAACATTTTTTCATATGACTACAGATGGTTTTAATTTCTTCATCTGAGAACTTCCTGCTGATATCCTTTGACCATTTATTAATTGGGGAATGACTTGTATTCTTACAAATTTGACTTAATTCTCTATATATTTTAGAAATGAGGCCCTTATCAGAGACACTAGTTGTAAAAATTCTTTCCCAATTTTCTACTTTCCTTCTAATCTTGGTTGCATTGGCTTTGTTTGTGCAAAAACTTTTCAATTTAATGGAATCAAAATTATCCATTTTGCATTTCATAATCTCTATCTCCTGCTTGGTCATGAATTCTTCTGTTCTCTACTAGAAAGTCTTCACATGAACTGATGCAAAGTGAAATGAGCAGAACCGGAATAGTGTACACAGTAATACTGATATTGTACAATGATCAACTGTGTATAATAGCCATTCTCAGCAATACAATGATCCAAAACGATTCTGAAGGACTTGCAATGAAAAATGTATCCATCTCCAGAAAAGGAACTGATGCAGTCTGAATGCAGATTAAAGCATAGTTTTTAAACTTTATTTTTCTTGGTTTTTTTTTGTCTGTTCTCTTTCACAACATGACTAACGTGGAAATGTTTTAAATGACATGCACATGTATAACCTATAACAAATTTCTGGCTTTCTCAATGAGGGAGAAGGGGAGAGAGGAAGAGAATTTGGAACTCAAAATTTTAAAAAATGAATGTTAAAAATTAGGGGAAAATAAAATATTAATTAAATAATTTTTAAAATACATTAAAATAATTTCATTCAATCCAACCATCATTTATTAAATAGCACATACTAGACACTGTGCAAGGTTTAGGGAATTCAGAGACAAAAAATTGAATCAGTCTCTGCCCTCAGAGAGCTTACATTCCATTGGATGAAAATAGCATGTTCGCAGGTAAGTCCTCTGATGTGTGTGACTTTCAGCAAGTTAGGTTGGTGCAGTGGTAAGAAAGCTGCCTTGGATGTCAAGGGACCTGGACTTGCATTCCAGCTTGGCCAATTAATACCTATGACCTTGAACAAATTGCTTAATGTCTCTGAGGCTCGGTTTCCTAATCTGTAGAAAGGGGGGGAGGGGTCAGCCTATAAGGTTCCTTCCAGCTCTAAATTTATGACTTGTCACTTAACCTCCCTGGTCCTTTCCTTAGTTGTATAAAGAGGGAGATTAGACTAGATCCTAGTTGCTCCAAGCTCCACAGTTATGATACATAAAGATTCAAATAATAATAGCCAGTATCAGTAGAGCACATTGCAGCTGACAAAGTGCTTTACTTAGGGCATCTTAGATGATCTTCCCAGCTCTGGGAGATGGGTGCTATTATTAGCC